TCAAACCCAAAATCCATATGTTTCCCTTGTCAGCCTCGTTTGCTTCCTCTCACGCGTCGGAGCAACAGTAAGAGTAGATCAAGAGGAGTTGTGATGGCGGTGGCAGTGACTGGCAATGACCAGTCCCAAGTGGAAGTCGACGTCTCTCTGAGCCCACGAGTCAACTCCGTCAAGCCTTCGAAGACAGTCGCCATTACTGACCAGGCCACGGCTCTCGTGCAAGCCGGAGTGCCCGTCATTCGATTAGCTGCTGGCGAACCCGATTTCGATACCCCTTCCATCATAGCTGAGGTACCTTCTTCTACATTTTCAATCCATATCCTTCGTGTTTTTTTTTTTTTTTTTTTTTTTTTTTTTAACAAATGGAGTGGGGGGAGTGGGCTAGCCTTGACTTGCTATTATGTGGTTCAACTTCGCCTCACCTCTCACTTACAAGTGAAGGAATACCACTAGACCGGAGTGATACTTGGCCTTCTTTGTGTTTGTTGTTGTTGTAATCCCAATTTTCAATTGCGGATGATGGGTTGTTTTCAATTTTTAATTTGTTTTTTTCGTTTTTAAAGGCGGGTATCAATGCGATTCGCGAAGGCTTCACCAGGTACACACCAAATGCAGGGACTTTGGAGCTGCGCCAAGCAATTTGTCATAAGCTCAAAGGTTCGGCTTTTTCGGTTTTTCTTTCTTGTTCTCATTCTTGAATGTTGAGATATATGTTATATGTTATATGGTTTGAGTTGTAAGTAACGATTCAGATTTTTTTAGAGGAGAATGGGATCACTTACACACCGGATCAGATTGTAGTTAGCAATGGAGCCAAGCAGAGCATTGTTCAAGCTGTGCTTGCAGTTTGTTCCCCAGGGGATGAGGTTACTTTCTAAATTTTTAGTACTCATAGTATAATGCAATCAACATTAGGCATGGTATCTTAATATGAAATGAAATCATTATATCATACCGTGATGTCCTTGAATTTCAATTCGGAAGTTTATTAGTTTAGAGAGACCAAGTGTTGGCCCGATAATTAAGGAATGTTCTTTATCTTCTTTCTTCTTTTTGGGTGTATATGTTGGTGGTTAATTTGCATTCAAGTGAATAATTGGAAGGTGACACACATTTACGGATAATCATGTAACTCACAGGTTATAATTCCAGCTCCATTTTGGGTGAGTTACCCTGAAATGGCAAGGATGGCGGATGCAACTCCTGTGATTCTTCCAACGAGCATCTCCAATGATTTTCTCTTAGATCCTAAACTTCTCGAATCCAAACTCACTGAGAAGTCAAGACTGCTGATTCTTTGTTCTCCATCCAACCCCACAGGGTCTGTTTACCCCAAGAATTTGCTTCAAGAGATTGCTAAGATTGTAGCAAAGCATCCTAGGCTTCTGGTACCCTCACTGTACCTGAACTAAAAGACCTGTACTTATTACCTGCACCTTAACATTTGAAACCTGAACTTTCCGCTACTGTTTCATTCAGGTTATTTCTGATGAAATATACGAACACATAATTTATGCACCAGCAACTCATACAAGCTTTGCATCCTTGCCAGGCATGTGGGAGAGGACTCTGACAATCAATGGGTTTTCTAAGGTAACCATATCGTTAATCCGCGTAAATTTATACTCCTCTTCTGTAACGGTGGCTTTTCCATGATTCTTGATAAATGGTGAAAAACAAAAAACCAAAGGAGGTAGGTTTGATGCTGAAGGTTGACATTCAGAAGGTGGTACTTTTGTAGGCTTTTGCAATGACTGGTTGGCGACTTGGATATATCGCCGGGCCTAAACACTTTGTTGCGGCTTGTGGAAAGCTCCAGAGTCAGGTATTTTGTACTTTATGCATCTTCCAATTATATTTTTCCCATTATTTAACATGTGATGATGGCGCCTTTTTTACTATTGTGTTATTCAAATATACTTCCTGTCAGCTTATGGCATTCATTATCAGTTTTCGGTTGGATAAAACACTTTCTCGTAAACACTAAAAGGAAAAAAAGAAAATATATGTGTCCTTCAACACATAGGAAAATTGGTAGTATCTGAGATGTAGCTTCAGGAAAATATTGAAGGTAATGTTAGTTGTTCAAACAGATTCCTGATTGATGTTGCTTGGCATGGTAAATTCAAGTTCATTACTAGGTTGAAATGTTAAACATGGAGCTAGTGGTGGAAGTTCTAATCTTTAGTTGAAGTTTGGAATTATGAGGACGTATGTGTAGTAAAGTACAGTAAGAGGTATCATGCATGCAGTTAAACAGATACCTTAATGGGCAGACCACTAGTTTAACAGTTACCTTACATGAAGTTAAACTGACAGTCTAGCATGTTTTGAATGTTATTGATGGTGAACCACATTAAAGTAACTAAACACAATTATAGTTGAGAGAGAGTTCTTAAGGAGCAGAGAGCACCCAGGATATGTTGCTGCTACGGTGCTAATTCTTGTCATCAGGACTTTCTTCTTCCGCTTCCAGCCGCCCATCAATTTGTTTCTCTGTTTCACGGGGTAGTATAGTGAATAAATGTTTTTTATCAGTAAAAACCACTGATCGTTTTGGACATTGTGCTGGGAAATGCCCAAAGTTTTGACAATTCGAACTTACCACTCAGTTCTAGTTTCAGAACAAGAGCCACCACTAGCTTGTACGCTCTTAGAAATAGGACTCACCAAATGGTTGGGAGAAGTGGATCCAGCATAGGATTATTCAAATTCCTTAGCTTTCATTCGCAAGTCGCAACTGATTTATTTATATTTTATATTTTAATATTATTTAATGGAACTCTGTTAGGTGTTCCCAGCCATTTGACTAGTTCATTCTTCTCAAGTTCCTACTGCATAATGAGTTTTTGGTTTCTCGTCCAATTAGTTTCTAGTTCTGCCCTTATGTAGCCTGGTCAAAAAAGAATCTCCTGAGTGGTACCACCTAAACAATAAATCCAAGCCCTCTGGCCAATTTTAACTAGTGCGTAGCTAACTTGTTTTTACAATTTACTTCTAGCGGAACAGGGTTCTTTCCAACCCAAGTTAAGTTGGTGGTTGAGTAATTGGCATCGTTGTCATAAGAAAAAGGTCGTTGAAAGATGTCGGGATTATTAAATAATTGGCCTACTTTGGAGGTCAATATTGGGACATGCATGTTTTTGTTTTTGCAGTTTGTTACACACAGCTAATCCCAGTGTAATGTGCCATAGTTCACCTCAGGTGCCTGTAGTATATCACAGAAAGCAGGAGTGGCTGCATTAGGTCTTGGTTTTGCTGGTGGAGAGGCAGTTTCTGTTATGGTGAAAGCATTCCGGGAGCGACGGGATTTCTTGGTCAAAAGCTTTGGCGAACTTTCAGGTGTCAGGATCTCCGAACCCAGGGTACCAATGATCCGTTTCCTTCCCTTTATTTTTCTCTGTTTCTTTCCCCACCTTGTCTTGGAGTATAGCACTCCTTTGAGGGATTACTATTTTTCATCCGTTATTCTCTCCTTCTATTCTACTTGCTATCCTAATTTCTTCACCATCTTGCGTCTCACTTTCAGGGAGCTTTCTATCTCTTCATAGATTTCAGCGCTTACTACGGAACAGCGGCTGAAGGATTTGGTAAAATTGAGAATTCAGAGTCACTATGCCGTTACTTACTTGACAAGGGTCAGGTATGCATTGGATTGCTATATCGGAAGATCCATATTCTAATAGCTACTGTAGTTTGAAATGTTGATGGTTGAATAAAATGCTGGCATGGGTTGTTGCTCATTTACAGGTTGCACTAGTACCGGGAGATGCATTTGGAGATGATACGTGCATACGAATCTCCTACGCTGCATCCCTTCCCACCCTACAGGCAGCTGTGGAGAGAATTAAGAAAGCTCTTGTTGAATTGAAGCCTGCGGCCAGTGTTACTAACTAAAGTGTTTCTGGTTTTGCCACTGTTCTACGTGGTGTAACTCTGTATTCTCGTATCTGAGTTGAAGCTACGAATAAGTTGGTCATGTCGGGAAGGTCGAAAATAATTCTTTTGGCATTGTATTTAACAGTAATGCAAACAAAGGCGTGTTTGTTTCGTTGAATTGGATTTCAAGAATTCCGTATGCTTACGTTATGCGTTTCTTTTTTACCATATTATCAAAACCAGAGGTTATTCTTTCATCCTAACGTTCACAAAACTTGATCTATTCCCAACGTAGGATGAAGGGTCGAACCGTTCACTCCTTTTATCCCAATGTAAAGATCGTATTTCGGGAAAACTTCAATCAATTAGAAAAACATTTAGTCATCTATATGAGTTAAACAAATTTGACAGTTCATCAAGAGGATGTTATTTGTTACCATTAGATAGTCTCCAAATTGAACGAAATTTCTTAGAGATGATCTTTAGATGATGATAAGAACATCAAATATGATGTTATGTCGTCATGGAAAGAGGAATGGCTCTAAATATTGTTTGATATTATAAACTATTTTTATGTACGAGAGGGGGATTAAAACTTGGGTGTATGGAACAGACACATTGTCTTGTCCAAGTAGCCTAACCGCGTTTGTTGAAACAAAAACTTTTCTTATTCACATTCACGTCATGCATCTTGTCGAAAGGTTAAGTACAATGTGAATATGTGGGGAAAGAGGATAGAGGGAATAAGCATATTCCTGTCTCCTAGGAGACTTTGCTTCAAATGCGCCAACATACTGATCAGCAATGGCCTCATTTGCATTGGGTTTAGATGACTTGTCCAAAAGGAAGGCTCGCTCCGAAGGTTACCGTTTCAAAAGCAAATACAATAAAAAGGGCAAAAGCAATTCCCTGGAAGTACTTTTGTACATGAAATCTTCAGGAAGCTAAGGACTAAAGGACCCCCTCAGCCAAAACCAAAGCCAAAGCCTAAGCTCTTAACTTAAACCACAAGTAAATCAATCTCAAATAGGAGGAATACCCTTCCTTCAACTCTGGCCTTTCTCATTTCTTTCTTCCCTTAACCCTTCAAATATATAACCTGCACATAATGATGACAAAAATTACCAAAATCCGGATACCCGAAGACGGAAAAAACTAGCTATACCTCAAATGGATGCTTCAGCTCATCCAAACAAGGCACAACAGAGATTGTGTTCTTTGACATAGAAACAAATGTACCCAATAAAGCTGGACAAAGGTTCTGGGTTTTAGAATTTGGTGCAATTTTGGTTTGCCCTCAGAACCTTGTTGAGCTGGAAACCTATAGCACACTCATTAGGCCGGGGGACTTGTCTGTTGTGGCATTGAGGTCTGGCCGGTCTGACGGGATCACTCAGGAAACTGTTGCAAAAGCACCCTTGTTTGAGGAAGTTGCTGATAAGATATTCAGCATTTTGAATGGAAGGGTGTGGGCAGGCCACAACATTCGAAGATTCGATTGCGTTCGGATTAAGGAGGCTTTTGCAGAGATCGGTAGGCCTGCACCTACGCCGGTTGGGATTATGGACTCTTTAGGGGTGTTAACTGGTAAATTTGGAAGAAGAGCTGGCAATATGAAGGTAATTAGATATAAATGTTAATTACAAATTGGGACTAGGAAGATTATTTACTTTCAATTTTATTTTTGGCTGCAAAGCCAATCCATCGTGATCTATGTATATATATGTTTAGATGGCAACATTGGCATCATACTTCAACCTTGGGCAGCAAAAGCACAGGTTCGCATGCAATAATCACTTTTTAATTAATGTTTAAATATTAATTGTATGCTTATATATTTCTACAAACATACATAGGAGCCTTGAAGACGTTAGGATGAATCTGGAGGTCCTCAAGAACTGTGCAACCGTGCTATTTTTGGTACTTTCACTAGACCATATCTAACTCTTATTTTTTTTGTCAGTTAATGAATAAAAACTATCCCTTCAACTTGATTTGTAACCTTGTGATCGATGTTTATTATGTTGTGTGGTGTTGTGGGAATAGGAAGCAAACCTCCCCGGCGTGTTAAATGGAAACTGGCCTGGCTCTTCGACGATTACAACGCGGAGTAGAAGTAACGGGAAATTGCCATTCAGAGAAGAAACTAGCCGCAAGTCTGCACCAACTACAGCTTATAATTGTTCTCATAGAGCTGTTCCATATGACTCAAGGGGGAGCTTGGGAAAGGTTTTATTTACTATAATTTAATGTCTTTAATTCATACCTAATGAAGGTGAGATTAACTGAGTATATATTAATTATGTATTTTGAAAGCAGATGACGGAAAGCGTACAGAATCTGTTGTGTAGAGCCCAAAGAAATCAGCCTCTTAACAACATACTGAAGCATTCTCATTCGCTACTCCGGTGAGAAACTGAAGAGCGTCCATTTCGACATGCTGCAGATGACCTCCGGTTGAACTGCCTGCAGTCACACTTACAGAAAGGAGAATTAAGAAGCTTTTGTTAAAGGTGTTTGACTTTCAGAACTTAGAAATTAGCAAACAATAGCAACAGCTTGAATTGGTTGCTACTAATCTCAATTAATTGATTCAACCATTCTTTATTTTTTTATAACGATCAATGTCATCCTATTCTGCACTTTGCAGGCTGTTTTTCTTTTCGCCATATTTTCTCTTATTTCGTTGCACACGACTTGAATTCGAATTAGCGGGGTTTTGGACGACAAACATGAATATTGAAGGAAGTTGAGATTGCTCCGTAAAACTAATGGCAATAAAAAGGAGTAATCCAAATATCCAATATGAGACATTTCTTCACATCTCACAAATACGACATGACTCACGCTAATTGAGTATTGAGTTTACATCATCATCTAACTTGATTATAGCACGTACTATATTAAAACCAGTTTAAGAAGTATCATGCGAATAAAACAATTAAGTTTAGGCTAGCCAAAATGATCATTGAGATTAACATAACTCCTTCATTCTTGTACTTGAGATTTGAAATCAATAAAAGGGTCTTTGAGTTTGTTCACCATCAATTATTTTGATCATTCTGTAAAAAATCTCCACTAAATAAGGATAAAATGATAAAAATACATTCAATTTTTGTCAAACAATTTTGGCCCTTTTTTTTTTTATTAAATTGAGGGTATTTTTTTCATTTTAGTCCTTATTTAACATAATTTTTCAGGGAATGATCAAAATAATTGATGGTACACAAACTTAGGAACCACTTCTACTGATTTATCTCAAGGATCAAAATGAGAAGTTATGTCAATCTCAGGAACCACTTCTATCGATTTCAAATCTCAAGAATTAAATTGAAGAATTATACCAATCTCAAGAACTATTTTAGCTAATAGTATCTATATATAGAAGCACAAAACGACACACAACGAACACAACCTGTTAACTACACGTACCATATATTAGGAGCCTACCAATTATATTGTCCCTTGAGTTGGGCACTTTGTACGGTTGCAGTAGATTCAGTGGTTGACGATATTTCAATTGTGCTTTGGGCCAACCAATCATAGTGGCAGGGTCACAAATATATGGGAATTAACTTTACCCCATCTTCAATGGTGATCCTCTCTATATAACTATCCATCATCACATTAGCAGATTCAGCGCACTATATATGTTATATTTGAAAAACACATCACAACATTACAAGTACGAGACATTACATTATAACTGCATTATATATGTTACACATCTCTTGTATATCACAAACCAACAACAACATAAGCTAGCTAGCGCTAGATATTTGTGGAGGAAGAGAGGGTGAGAAGATATTCAACCATCATCTCATTATTTATATCGTCCCCCTACACATCTATATAGATAAGTGGGATCGATGGGACTATATATCATAGCTAGCACACATGAGAAGCAGGAAACACGAGACCTGAACGAGAATGTTGCGATCGAGCGTTTTTATGGAAGAGCTAGCTAGCAGCTTGCATTAGCAGGTGGTGGCAATTTTTCACTGAATCTTGCATCCACTGCTTCTCCGACCGTCACGAAGACCCTTTCTCCAATTTTTTCCACAAAGTTGGATAGCTTTAGTTTGTGAATCACTAGCCACCTAGGGTTTGCAACGGCTAACTGGGAGAGAGAGACAGAGAGACAGAGAGAGAGGTGACAAGTTTTAAAGTGCCGAGGTCGATCCCTGTAAGCCAAGAGGGCGAATAACTAGTCGATGTCTTACCTCAATTCCTTCGGAGATCAAATTCTTTTGCAGCTCCTCTAGAGAAGCTATTCCCGATGTATCAATGTTAATCAAATCTGTCGTACAGAAAGGGGGTAAAAACAAAGGAGAGGAGGTTATATAAATCTCTTGAAAGCTGCATATATATGTACAATTATGTAACATGTATATATATACTGTATACGTATAGAACAGTCAATGGCTTACATATGCTAAATGGAAGCTGTTCTTACATTGAAATTTGTAATGACTAACGATAGTGCATGAAAGAAAATAAGGCCTATATACAAAATTTAAATACTTGTGTTTTCAAAATTGAAATTTGTACTATCCTCACAAAAAGCCATTCGTCTATCCTTGTGTCAGCCACATACTTCATATTCATGCTCTTTTATCATTAGACACAACTATATATATAGGGGACGAGCACTTAAGTACGGCCTGTCCATGAGCAAAGAGCACAAATGTTGACGTCCATCAAAGGAAGCACAGATATTAATAATTATTGTGCATGAACCCCAATATTTTATAGTGTCTACCGCATGAGCTTTTGGTGCCTTTATCGTGCTTGTGTCCATACAAAAACCATACATTTTGGGATGTATATACGGGTTAAGCATTTGGGTTTAGAATTTAGTGATTAAAGTCTATTTTGAAGAATAAACATAATTAAATGGACATCGAGAATGACTAGTTTTAGATCCAAGATTCTAAAGACATTGTCTCTAGTTTTTCGTTTAGCCACTTACTAGACATGTCAAGAATTACGAGTTGAATTGCCTCTTTGGTGTCCTCCCCTTTCTTTGCAGTTATCCACCTTACAATCCTTGCATTTACAATACAAATACATGTTAATTTTCATATATAATTGGCTTTTAAGATTTATTAAATCTACTATTCACCAAAAAAATAAAAGATTCAGTACATATATATTTGTACAATTAAATACATACCTTTCTTTGACGAAATTGGCATTTGCAAAACAAAACAAGGCAGACTTGACACGTATTATCATGATTCCAGGAATTTTAATAGCCATAGGATATTGAGCAGTGTCGCAAAATATATCAGTTCTCGGAAGTTTTCCAAGTGTTTCTGTGCCTGGTCCAATTGAGATGAGAATAATCTTTGTGAATGATATGATCACCTGGTCAAAATATACAATTACATGTTAGAGACATCTTTTGTGCATAAGCATCGTTAAAAAGATGCCTACAAAACATATGTGCCTGGTCCAATTGAGATGAGAATAATCTTTGTGAATGATATGATCACCTGGTCAAAACATACAATTAACTGTTAGAGACATCTTTTGTGCATAAGCATCGTTAAAAAGATGCCTACAAAACATACACACACACACACACACACACACACACACGCAAATATGCAATTTGTCAGTGGTTAAAAGTATCAGAATCAGATGCCTACGAAACCACTTCTATGAGATTAAACAACTAAAAATGATTCCAATAATGTTTAACATAAAAAAAGTTTAAAGATTTAAAAGTTATAAACAACTTTTTAGTTCATTACATGTGTTAGTGCTCTACCAAGAAGCACTTCGTTTTTTTTTATAAAAGTTTCAATGTTCTCCTAAGTAATGAAAATGTTTATAAATAAAAGTGCATTGGGAGATTTTGTAATAGAATAAAACGTATTACCAATTAAATATTCTCTTGGTCATCTACTAATTAAATAATGTACTTTAAAATTTGATATCAATAGTAAAGAATAAATGAATTTATTTTTTAATATTTTAATATCAAATTCAATGATAAGTAACTATGTATCATTGATTAGTAGGTTGACTAAAAAACGAGACTCAATGAAATTCTAGAATTGATACATATGAAACATGGTTCATTGAAGAGATACCTAGAAATATTTACCAAAAAGGACCAAATCAATTAATTTAATCATATATGCTTCTATCTCCCAGGAACAAGATTAATTATTCCATGTATGACAAAATCATTTGCTGGTTTGAGGTTCTCGTATCCCACTCATCTACTTTTTCGTTTTTTTATTTTTTGGACATTGTTAATTAGTTCTTTATTTTACAAAAGTAATGGCTTTTTTTTTTTTTTTTTCCTCCAAACAATAATGTTAGTAAGTTAAATTGTTAAATGTTAAGAGAGAAGAAGAAGGGAATCGGTGAGAATCAAACTCACACCAATAGGCATTATCACTATCTAATATTGTGGTAAAGTGCAACCTATCTGCTTTACAAAAGTAATATTGTTTAAGAGACCAAACCTTTGTATTACATAATTAGTCATGTAATATTAAAACATAGTAAAAAAATGTAGTTTACTTGTATTTACAATATAGTAATCATATATCATATATGTATCTATTCACCTTAATTAAGATTTTTTTCTTAATAAATTTTTGTTTGGGGATGTTTTATTTAATGACACATTTACCCTATCATTCTATATCAGATTCTCCTATGTAGATAACAATACTCTATACTAGTGTTTTAAAAATCATCGTCTAGCGCCCGCCTAGCACCGCTTAGGCTCTGTTTAGGAGCTAGGCAACTAGCCACTGCCACAATTAATTCTTAGGTGTTTAAAAAATAAAAAAGGGTGCCTGCCTAGGCGTCCACTTAACCCACCTAGACCTGCCTAGGTTGTGAGTCTCATTTAAACAAAAAATAAATAACTTCTATTTTGCATTTTTTTAATAAATTTGTGAGAGACTTTTTATATATAATTTAATTTATATGTCATTCTATTTTGCAATTTATGTATCCGAACATAATTATTTATTTTTTTAAGTGCAAGTAGACATTTATTTATATGTTATATAAAAAATTAAATTAAAAATAAAAAATAGCCTACTCCTCTGCCTAGATCCCACCTAGATGCCTAGGTGCTAGACCTCTGTTCATTGCCCTATTAGCACATAGCGTCTTTTAAAACCTTGCTCCATGCAAATGAGGAAAGCTTGTAAACATACGGCTAAGGTTTGAGGCTAATAAAAATGTGTTCTATATGTTGACCCAAAAAATAATAATTAAAAATAGGGTAAAGTACGAAAAACTACCTCAAATATTGAGGTCACGACAATTTCATACCTCATCTTTTAAAATTGACAATGTCATACCGCATCTTACGAATTTGTGACAATGTCATATCTCTGTCAATTTTTCTGTTAAGTGCTGACGTGGCAAGAGACGGGGACCACTCACTAATCCAGCTGGATTAAAAAATAATTAAATATATTTTTAATAATGAAATATTAAAAAATTAAGAATAAAAAAAAAAAAAATTCCTAGGGGTGCGGCATCCCCTTTCCTTCACCCGCACCAATTTCAATTTTTTTTGTTCTTCTCTCCTCCTTCTTCTTCTTCATCTTCTTCTTCTTCTCCTGGGCC